TAGGCTTAATGGTCGAGTGAGTGATTACTCGAACTCGAAATAAAGGTAGCCCGTAGGCTTAATGGTCGAGTGAGTGATTACTCGAACTCGAAATAAAGGTAGCCCGTAGGCTTAATGGTCGAGTGAGTGATTACTCGAACTCGAAATAAAGGTAGCCCGTAGGCTTAATGGTCGAGTGAGTGATTACTCGAACTCGAAATAAAGGTAGCCCGTAGGCTTAATGGTCGAGTGAGTGATTACTCGAACTCGAAATAAAGGTAGCCCGTAGGCTTAATGGTCGAGTGAGTGATTACTCGAACTCGAAATAAAGGTAGCCCGTAGGCTTAATGGTCGAGTGAGTGATTACTCGAACTCGAAATAAAGGTAGCCCGTAGGCTTAATGGTCGAGTGAGTGATTACTCGAACTCGAAATAAAGGTAGCCCGTAGGCTTAATGGTCGAGTGAGTGATTACTCGAACTCGAAATAAAGGTAGCCCGTAGGCTTAATGGTCGAGTGAGTGATTACTCGAACTCGAAATAAAGGTAGCCCGTAGGCTTAATGGTCGAGTGAGTGATTACTCGAACTCGAAATAAAGGTAGCCCGTAGGCTTAATGGTCGAGTGAGTGATTACTCGAACTCGAAATAAAGGTAGCCCGTAGGCTTAATGGTCGAGTGAGTGATTACTCGAACTCGAAATAAAGGTAGCCCGTAGGCTTAATGGTCGAGTGAGTGATTACTCGAACTCGAAATAAAGGTAGCCCGTAGGCTTAATGGTCGAGTGAGTGATTACTCGAACTCGAAATAAAGGTAGCCCGTAGGCTTAATGGTCGAGTGAGTGATTACTCGAACTCGAAATAAAGGTAGCCCGTAGGCTTAATGGTCGAGTGAGTGATTACTCGAACTCGAAATAAAGGTAGCCCGTAGGCTTAATGGTCGAGTGAGTGATTACTCGAACTCGAAATAAAGGTAGCCCGTAGGCTTAATGGTCGAGTGAGTGATTACTCGAACTCGAAATAAAGGTAGCCCGTAGGCTTAATGGTCGAGTGAGTGATTACTCGAACTCGAAATAAAGGTAGCCCGTAGGCTTGGCAATCGAGCGAATGATTCGAACTCGATGCAATGTAGCTCGTAGGCGTAATAGTCAAAGTAGCCCGTAGGCTTAATGGTCGAGTGAGTGATTGCTCGAACTCAAAATAAATGTGGCCCGTAGGCTTGGCAATCGAGCGAATGATTCGAACTTGATGTAATGTAGCCCGTAGGCGTAATAGTCAAAGTAGCCCGTAGGCTCAATGGTCGAGTGAGTGATTACTCGAACTCGAAATAAAGGTAGCCCGTAGGCTTGGCAGTCAAATGAATGATTCGAACTCGATGCAATGTAGCCCATAGGCATAATAGTCAAAGTAGCCCATAGGCTTAATGGTCGAGTGAGTGATTGCTCGAGCTCGAAATAAAGGTGGCCTGTAGGCTTGGCAATCTAGTGAATGATTCGAACTCGATCCTGTTTGCATAATAAATCTTGAACATAGAATATCGGTAAGGAGGAGAGCTTTCTTTGCAGGTCATTATACATGGGTTCATGTTTTGCGTCAGGGCTCGGGTCAACTATATAAGCATGGTTCGTTTTGACCGTTTGGCCCTTACAACGTTTCCCGTTGAGACATTGTTTGTCATGAAATAACGAAGTAACTTCCTTTGCACCGAACTTGATAATCATCACAGATGCGTTCAATGATAAAGCCCCCCTATGTACGAGGTTGATTTTAAAGAGGCCTCGGATACTCAGCAGTAGTATCGTTTCCGCTATATGGCTGGTATCGATCTCTGGTCGACTTTTGCTTTTTCGTAATGGTCCTAGAAGTCAACTGGTCATCTTCGACTCTTATTTTGGATTGATATCGATTATGCACGTCGGTCCAAGTAATAGCTGGGTACTCGATCAGATTTTGCTTCAACCGCCGCGAAGCCCTCGAGCTCCGCTCATTTAGACCTTGAGTGAAAGCTTGAACAACCCAATCGTCTGTGACTGGTGGCAGATCCATTCGTTTCATTTGAAAACGAGCTACGAACTCCCTTAGCATCTCGTTATCCTTTTGCATTACCTTGAACAGGTCCGACTTTCTGGTTTCGACCTTTATGGCTCTGGCATGAGCTTTTATGAAGCAATCTACAAGCATAGCAAAAGAATCAATGGAATTATATGGTAAATTATGATACCATATCATTGCCCCTTTTGATAGGGTTTCACCGAATATTTTTAATAATATAGATTCGATCTCATCATCTTCCAAATCATTGCCCTTAATGGCACATGTGTAAGAAGTGATGTGCTCGTTGGGGTCGGTCGTTCCGTTATATTGGGTATTTCGGGCATACGGAATTTTTTGGGAATTGATTTTGGGGCTGCACTCGAGGGAAAAGGATTTTGAATGAATTTTTTCGAATCTAACCCTTTTATCACTGGTGGAGCCCCCGGGATCTGGTCGACCCTAGAATTATATATTTCTACTTTTTTATTGTTGGTTTCGACTCGTTTTATGAGTTCCTCGAGCAATTTAGTAATTTCGGGAGTAGTCCCCGATTCTTGCTCATTTGGCTTCCCTATGGCTGGTTCTGTTCTGTGGGTGACTTCTCGAACCAGATTGGGCTCCGGCCTACTTTGTACCTGAGTTTGGCTCTGCAACTGAGCTATCGCTATTTGCTGGGCTTGCAACATCTCGAAGATCATCCGTAAGCTGACTCCGATCTCCTCCACGTTATGGGTGTCTCAAGCTACGGATCGAGTACCACCCTGAATGCTTCTTTCCGGTTCGGAATGCCGATCTCGCAAAACTCGATATCATTATCGAGCCCGCGTCCGAATCGGACTACGGGGTAACGACGACCGACACAGGCCCCGAATATCGGTGCTCCAAGGCAGAACCGAGCTCGAACTAAGACTGGGGATTCGATCTAGCACCAAGCTCGAGTTAGTGCCAAGCTCACAGACAAGAGCCGTTACAACCGCACCAAGGGAGAGAATCTTGGTGAGAATCAAGGGAGAGACAAACCATCATTGGTTCTCCACTATATGTATTATTTTATATTATTACAAATAAAGTAAGTGACCCTCTACCATAAAAAGGGAGATAGACTGCAATAGGGAAGAACAATTAAGATTTCATTGTGCTTGTTCTTCTAATATTTTTCAGTCTTCCCTTCCATCATTTTCCATTTTCATAGCAAAAATATCTGCATCGTCATTTTGTATCAAAGAAATTTGCATACCCTTAGAACCATATCTAAATTTAACGTTATCTGATTTTTCGGGTAAACAGGAGTTAAGTTAAAAAATAGTATTTAGAATTTGAAATTATGTTTGGACATGCATTTCACTTGAAAAATTATTGCAGTTTTGTGAGTGGGGAAAAAGAAATTCTAAAAATTTTGAATAAGTGGTCAAAATTACTTTTTGATTTTTAAAAAATTCATTTTCGAAAAATTTTAAAAAACTTGGAAAATTTCATGGACAAACACATTTTTAAAAAATTATTTGAAAAAAAAGGGAAAAAAAGTATGGACAAACGGGCCTTAATTTCTTTTCATGAATACTCTATTTCGGCTATATTTTTTCCAGATCTTTTTTAATTTGTGCATACCAGTAACATTCCCAAAGCAACTATTGTAATCAGTAGCTAAGATTCTCAAACAACTGTAATAATTAATGATCGCAAATCGAAATGAAGGAAAGCTGTTTGAATCAATTTTTCTTCCAATGTGAGCGATCACGTTTAAACACCTAAAAGCAATTTCTATCCAATTTCCTAGATTTGACCTCTCTTTAGATTTTGAAATCATCACGTGCACTTGAGCATGTCAATTACTCCTATATAACATGCTTTACTATAATTACTCCCTCCGTTTCAAGAGAAATTATTTCTTTTTTAGCTTATGTCAAAAAGAATTACCTCTTTCCTTATTTGGAAATAATTTATCTTTATCCAATGATTTATAGTCATACAAAATATATGTGCCTCATTTTACATCACAAGTTCAAAAGTCTTCTCTCTTTTCTTAAATTTTGTATCCAGTCAAATGAATTCACATATATTGAAACTGGGTAGTATTAGCTAATTTAAGTACGATTATCGAAAAGGAATTCTGTTTATGTCGGCCTGATGATGTCTGCTGGCGCAGAGGCATCGCTCCGCATAACGTGGCATTTCTTTTCACGTATTAGATCAAAATCATATGTTGAGTATGATATTCTTTTTTCTTTTTTTTTAAATAATGGTTTTCGAATCAACTTGCATGTTTTTTTATCTATGTACATGGTGCATACTATCTCCCTCGACACAATTACCGAATAACTTTACTCATTAACGCTTAACCGATTACTGCTTGTTGTTTCTGCTTTTTTTCAATTTTTTTGAGCCGATGGTTTATCAGAAATAATTTCTATATCTTCACAAGGTAGGGATAAGGTCTACGTACACACTACCTTCCTCAGACCTCACATTATGGATTACATTGGGTTTTTTGTTGTTGTATTAACACTTAACCGAACAGAAAGAAACCTCACAATCTGAACCCTTGAACCCCGGTCTCTCATAATTTTCACCTACTTCATTGACCAAGACCACATCTTAAACTCCTATTTGACCATAGATTTTGACTTCACTTTTTCAAAAAAAATTGAAAATATTATTTATTTATGAAATATGATCATGTTTNTTTTTCTTCCACTTACAAAACTTCAACTTTTCTTCAATAAAATGCATGTTCAAACACAACTTCAACTTTTAAAAATTATTTTTTAACACAACTTCAAACACTATTTTTTTCAAGTTTCAATCAAATATATGTCCGAGCTAAGTTTCTATCTTAAGCGTGAACAATTCTGGTAATATTAAACAATTGAGAGGAAAAGCTGCTTTCCTTGTAATCTCAGTCTTGGTGCTCTATTTGAATATTGAATAAGTTAAAGTCAATAGTTTACTTAATCTCATAGCTTGCTGCACTAGGAAGGGACGAAACAGCCTCAGAAATACTAAGATAGTTTTGGAATTTAATTAAAGGAAAAGATACCACACTTAATACAAGATTTACAGTCAAGTTTTCTTGGGAAGAAAATTGAATGTAGAAGTATAAACAAAGCATTTTGTTCTAACAAGACTACTAGACTTACCAAACATAAAAAATACATTTCAAGCTTTACTCTGATGTTGTGTGGAAACTGATCTTAGAAGTGTATCCTGCTAGGTTGAGACTTCTCCATCCTAGTTTCTCCGTAAGGCTCATCGTTATCGATCCGTTTGTTGTGCCTAAACGCAGCGATAGCGACCATATACATGATCACGAGAATGATCAATATCACAATATTGATGACAGACACCTTTCTCCAACTCTTTCTAATGCTAGCCAGTACGCCAGCTTTGCAAGAGTTACAATTGTAGCAAAGCTGCCCTTGATCATTGTTCCAATTAACACAATCTGGATCAGCTCCAACTAGCCCTCCTCCTGGAATCCAAACTGTCTCATTCTGATAAACATAGCCACATTCTGTAGGAGGCTTGCAGCAACCAGACTGCATACAAATTAAGTTTGAGATTTTGTTAGACCTATTGTCTTTCTGCTCTAACAGTAAAGCTAGTTAGAGGTAGATATCTAGGAGGGGATCACTGAACCAATTGCTTTCAGCTCGATTATCCATTTATGTATAGAAAAAAGTATTCAATACAATATAGTAAGATCATACTCATTCTAAACTCACTAACTCTGGTCTTTGGATTCGCCCCTATGCGCATGAATCATTTTACGTATGTAGTAACTCGACACATGATGTGAACTCGGAGACTCATAAACTCTATTGCTAAAGAATGTGGTTCAATCCAGTATCTTGGATAAGTTTTGCTCCACATGCATGATTGTTTATACTTTCCGGCGATCAGATATAAATTGCCCTAGCATTACCATGCCTTTGGTAATTTACGAGGGACAAGCTCCACCAGAAGAGGTTCTCTACTTTTGGTATACTTCTTGTATATGGGCATTTTTTGCCCAAACATCAACAAAATTTATTATAAAAAAGAGGTCTAATTCAAGAAATATTGGAAAGGAAAGAGATATGTCAGGGTACGTAGGTTAGGTTGCCTATAGTAGATCCTTAGTGGAGTAGAAAAATATCTAGAAATATCAAAGACACCACATGGCCACACTTGCCCATCAAGATGTAAATAATTGGGGTCCTATAATTGGAGCTTTTGGGGCATGTTAGTTTCCCATCTTTTCCAATCAACATAGTCACTCAATCATCATCTAAACGGTGAACACTTTTCTTGATTCACAATAGCAGTAAAGGATACTTGTTGAACCATAAAATACTAAGAATTGATTGAAGAATTAATCTAAGTAAAGGCAGCCCGGTCCCGCGTTCACGTAGGGTCCCGAGAAAGGTCGCACCCCTGATGTAGACAGCCTAACCTAATGCAAGTATTAGTGGTTGCTTCCACGCCTAGAAAGGTCGCACCCCTTATGTAGACAGCCTAACCTAATGCAAGTATTAGTGGTTGCTTCCACGCCTAGAAAGGTCGCACCCCTTATGTAGACAGCCTAACCTAATGCAAGTATTAGTGGTTGCTTCCACGCCTCAAACGTCATACGGGGATAACTTTATCGTTGCTCGAAGAATTAATCTACTGAAAAGAATATCCCTTTATGGCAACTATATGACTTGCAACAACATGCACTACAAATACTTTTGTAGACATGTTGATCCTTGTTACATCAGGAAGATATTTTGTTTGTACAATTCTAAGTTGCATACAAGCTATAGTAAAGTTCAATTGGGTAGGACCACTTAAAATATATGACCCATTATACAAACCATTACTCTTTCTGAATAACCAAATTAGTATAATTTAAAGTGACCAGCTACCAAGTTTTTTGTCCTGAATTAAAAACTTATCCAAGAAGTGATCACAAACTTTTTAAAAATGGAGTAATTAATTTCCTTGAATGGTCCATATATGAAAGAAGGACCCATCTACCTGTTTCATATGCATATTTAAATTTAGTAATTAATTTAGTTATGGGATAATATGGACCCATGCATAAACATGGAATGTGATTGTTGACCATCACGCTAACATGCCAACATGCTATGACCCGAACATGCACCCAAAAGTCATTTTAGTAGGAAAAAGCAAAGGAACGTGGCGTAACATGATTTCCTTCTATTTGTCTAAATTTGGATGTGTAGAGTTATCAGATACATGTACTGATAGAAGATAACAGGTATCTGATTGAATTAAGGTGCACAATTTTGGTGTGTTGAGTTATCCTGTATACATATTGTACATGGTGGTTACTTGAGGTATGCAACCTAGGCCGGAACTAAAAAGAAAAAGAAAAGGAAACAAAGGAAAAGGAAGAAAAAGAAGAAATCTAAGTTGAATCAGAAGAAACTAGAAAGGAACAGCAAAAGCTAGTCAAAACAAAAGGCAAAAGGGGCAAAAAAGTTTTTCTTTTCATCAGTTGCTGGTAATGGAAAACCCAGAAAATAATTAAGGATATTACAAATAAAAAGCATTAAAGCAAAATGATAATCTGAACCAGTCCAAAAGAAGCCAACCTCCAAAAGTTGTACCTCACATAAAACATGCATAGCTATTAGCAAAATTATTGTTGATTTGTCACCATTCTTCTATTCATTACAGGCCAAAAATATCACTTAATAGCAGCTATGATAATAGCTTTTAAAAGTGTGGATGAGGTACCATTTCATTAAACGACAATTAATAAGTCGGTAAATTGTCTTTATCACTATATAAATGGGTATTTCCACCCAACAGAAATATTAAAAGAGGAAAAGAAAAAACCCATTTTGCCCTAATGCACAAAAAGTATGATTATTCACACTGTCACAATTGACAGGTAAGCGTAGAACCTTGTAATAACCGGTAAATTTGTTGTCATGTAATCAGCAGATTACGGGTTCGAATCATAAAAATAATCTTTTATGCAGGGTAAGATTCCGTACAATAAATTTTTGTGATCCAACATTCCCCAAACTTCGCACATAGTAGGAGCTTAGGGTAACGTACTGCCTTTGTTTCACAATTGATCAGTACAAACTCACAATGAATCTATCAGTAGAAGTTGATTAATTGTCCTTTTTTATGTTTCTTTTTCTCTCTCTCATTGTCCTTCTCTCTTATATCAGTGGTGTCCTGATTAATTTGCCCGATTATGTCGCCCGCTATTCACTGCCTACTATCAGCATAGATATTAGATGACTAGCTCTTACGCTTAGGTAGATGAGTATGAAATTATCTATTATTTCACAATTTATGTGAATATATTTTTTTTTAGCCCGTGCTAAAAAAATATTCTCTTTTCTTAATTGGAAACAATTTACCTTTATGCAATGATTTATAGTCACACAAAATATATGTGCCTAATTTTACACCACAAGTTCAAAAGTCTCTCTTTTTTTAAACTATGTGCTCAGTCAAATGGGTTCACATAAATTAAAACGGATGGAATATAAGCTTATCTCTACTAGATTAATTTTCGGTGATTTTCGCTCACTTTATTAAACGTCATACCACAATTTTGGACCACTTGATGCAACTCACATATCAATAAATTAAAATATTATTTTTAAAAACATAGAAAACTGAAACATTTCCTGCACTATTATTGTGGCACCAACGTTTATTTCCGTAAAAACAGATCTAGCACTGGCTTCTAATTACTGTTCCTAATCTTGTTTCAAAAATCAAATGTCAGGTGAAAGAAAATGCTTTACAGGTGTCTTATAATTTCAAATTAAAAAATGATTACTTTCACAAAATAAGTTCCTCTTTTAATCTCTAATAATAAAATAAAATAAAAAGCAGTTTGGTGTACTAAATTACTATTATGTAGAGTCCGGAAAAGAGTCGGGCCACAAGAATCTATCGTACACAACCTTAATCTGCATTTTTTCAAGAGGCTATTTTCACAACTTGAACTGAACATCGTCACGTGATAATAATTTTACCGGTTACACTAACGGTACCCTTCCTTTTTTAATCTCTAATAACACATTAAATTTCATTTCCCACTATAAATTGTTCATATTATCTATTTTTATTGCTTTAGGCATCAATATCATAAATTTACTGGTTAAACTAATTCAGATTTAAACCAAATAAATTCTATACGGGGTAAAGTATTATCTACCAAAAAAAATTTTAATTTTCAGAACTCGAACCCGAGCGCGAAAAAGCCCATAACATAAACATTTTCTTTTCAAGAAAAATGGTTAAACAGGTTTTGACAGAACTTACCTCAACAGGACTAAGTTTTCTGAGGTAAAACATCTCAGCACTCTCAGGAATACTATTGTAAGTCCTTCTTGTCTTAGCACAAACATGTGAATCTCTAATACAAGAACTGATCTTCATCCAATAACTCTGACTTGTAACCCTTTCCTCAAGCCAACCCGAATAATCCTGCAAGTGATACTCCAAGTAAACCCGGTTCAAGACGGGTCGACCCGACCCTTTATCAGTGACAGCATAAGCAAAGATGACAAATCCAATCAAAGCAGCTATGATAAAGAACATAGCCCATAGATAAAGGTACATAAGGAAAGTGTTTCTATAACAAGCACCAGCAAATCCAGCTAAAGAAACAACCATAATTGAAACTCCAATTACTATTAATGGCCATTGAAGGAATTTCAAGCAGTCTGTGTTGTTTGCTCTGCTGCTTAGCCATATTCCACCACCTAATATTGGGATTGAGGCCAAGAAAGTGAAGAAGTTTAGTAAACCTATTAAATGGTTGCTAGTTCTCATTTTTTTTTTTCTGTGGCTAATAATGCAATCTTCCTGAAATGGACTTTTTTGTAACAATTTTTGGGTTGGGGAAAGCAGAGCAAAGAGTGTTTCTTAAGAAGGGGGAGTTGAGGGGTTAATGTAAGAGTAAGGAAAGAGAGGGGTCTCTCTATTTCCTTAACTTGTAGACAACTGTATAGTGGAGTGACAGAATCACCCCCTATATATTTGGTAGTATTGACTTGGTACAGTTGGGAATCTTGAGATGAGGAATGAGAATATTTTATTTATTTATTATTTTTATTTTTATTTTTTAGAAATAACAACAATAACAAAGGCACTATAATATCACTGGGGTGTGGGAATGGTAGTGTGCACGCATACCTTATCCCTACCTTATGAAAGTAGAGATGTTGTTTTCGATAGACACTCGGCTCAAGTAACAATGAAAATAAAGTAACAAACAGTAGCAACAACAATATAATATGAACAAATGGCAACATGTAATATAAAGAATCAGGAATAAAAAAAAACAAAAATAGTAGTAGTACTACTTATAAGACTAAGAGACTAACGATTACATGTCAACCTTACACTCTAATTCTCTACTTCCACAATTTACTATTGAGGGCCATATCCTTGATAAGTTATAGCAATGACATATCATGCCTAAAAAGAAATATTTTAAACAAAAAAGGTGAATCTCTCACAACTTAGTAAATGAGGTGAAAAAATTATTTTGAACTTTGGTTCCATACCGTATAACAACAACAAAAATAGCATACCCAGTATAATTTCACAAATAGAATGTGAAAGGGTAGTGTGTATGAAAACCTTATCCTTATCTTTTGAAGGTAGAGAGATTATTTCCGAAGACCCTCAACTCAAAATCAAAGGATAAAAGGAGTAGCAATCAGTAATAAACAATAATATAATAAAATAATTTAAACGAAAGAAATAACAAGTAGAAATATAACTCTATGAACAAGAAAATACTTAGGTTACATTAATAGTATATAAAAATTTAATACAGTACAATTTATTTGATTACATCCAGGGCCGGCTAGAGAGTAAGGATGCTCAAGTCATTGCCTTGTGTCCCAAATTCTAGAGGACCCAAAATATTATACTATATTATTATGTAGAAAAATTAACCCAAATAGCCGTCCACCCAACTACTTAAATCAAAAATAGCCGATTAAAGTATAACATATGCATAATTTATGTGTTATATATGAATAATTGTGTATAATAAATGTATAATCTATGTATATGACTAGAAAAAGTAAATAGTGAATATGACCGACTATTTGTGTAAAGATCCCTATTATGTATTAGTATATATCTTATGCGATTACTCTTAAGAGTCCAAATTTTAATATTTGGTTAAGAATGCACAAATGAGTGAGTAAAGAGCGATAAATCTTCGTCTTGTTAGTAGTATATTTATTTTCCTCTTCCGTTCTAATTTGTCCTCCTTCTTTCACATGATTTTGAGATTTCACTTTCCAATTTCAAGCTTTGTTTCTTTGATTTAGCTATTTTCTAATGTTTAATTGACCCATTGATTAGAACATGAGATCTTTTGTGTCTCGTTGTTACATGAATTTTGTGAAATATACCTCTTAATACAATTTGGCTTTAGGCCACCAACTTCGTTGAGCCGCCCCTCAAGTAATTCCTCTATTTTCCAGGTACATTCTTAATGACAATAATCTATCTCCTCGGAGTTGTGGGGGCGAAAAATATTTGAAATGCCTTACGAACCATTATATGACTTGTTATAAAATGTTAACCTATTTTTGCATGTTAAGTTAATTAGATGATATAAAGAATTAATACATTGGCATTGCACTAAAAACTTATTTCTTTTACATTAGTTTGGTAAATCAGTTTTAGAAAAAATATATAAAGAATTTAAGTTATATATATTGACGGTATAAAAAATTTATACTCCCTCTGTTCCAATTTATGTGAACATGTTTGACTGGGCACGGAGTTTAAGAAAAAATGAAGACTTTTGG